AACCCTTTTTGTGCAATGAAATTTTCAAATAAAGTTAGATATATATACACACATACCAAAAGAATGGTGGTAGAAGAAGAAAATATCAAAGTGTTCAGCGAGGATCCACAAGGTCTTCTCTGAGTACTCTTTATTTTCTTCTCTGAGGCTACGGGTCCTTACACTTGCACATTGGGTGAGGTGAACAAACTTATGACAAACACAAGACAGAACACGGAACAATGGGTATAAATTGGATAAGAGAACTGCAGAAGGCCTATTGGCCCATACTTCCTCTTGCTGCTTCCATATTGCTTCAGTCTTGAAGTGGGTAGAATACAGTTGTGCATTAATTGGCTGTTGATTACTGGCGTTGACTTTTTTTTATGTGTAATGCCTCACTGATGTCGAGCCGCCTGTTATCACTGTACCTATCAATGATTTCTGTGTTGTTTGTTAAGATTTCTCTGGTGATGGTCTGGTTGTGAGAGGAGATTATATGTTCCTTGATGGAGCCCTGTTGCTTATGCATTGTTAATCGCCTGGAAAGAGACGTTGCTGTCTTGCCTATATACTGAGTTCTTTGGGGCATACAGTCCCCAAGTGGGCATTTAAAGGCATAGACGATGTTGGTCTCCTTTAAGGCGTTCTGCTTGGTATCTGGAGAGTTTTTCCAGGAGTAGGTTGGCCGTTTTTTTTATTTTATAGTAAATCGTCAATTGTATTTTCTAATTTTTGTCTGTAGGGATAACGTTCCTATCAACAATATCTTTCAGGACCCTTTCCTTCATTTTATGAGCTGTGGAAAAGAAGTTCCTGTAAAATAGTCAAATAGAGGGTACATGTGTTGTGTTAGTTGACTCCTACTAAAGAGTCAACTTTAGTCAAACACTAACTTCAACTTTTATTTGTCACAAGTTTGTTCACCTCACCCAAAACTGTTGTACCATATCACCTCACCTAAATGCGAGTATAAGTATGGACGGATTTTGCGTGTTTACAGGTTACAGTTGTGTGTGTAAACTAAAGTCTTTGAAAATGTAATAAGATATTACGAAACGCGTTCAGGCGTCGCGTCAGACTAGAAGTAAAAATTAATTTTGGAGAATTGATTTTTCAATTACCATCGACAGTGAAAAGAAACACAAGAAAGAGAGAAAATTCGTGTTAGAATTATTAATCTTACCTTTTCGGTCATATTTAACAACATATGTTTACAAGAACGAATGCTACCAAAATATACTAATATATCAACCCGTTCTCGCAAATTTAATAAGTCAATATTGACTTATTAAATATGTGCATAGGTGACATACTTAACATAATAGATGCCCTTAAAAAGATTCATAGAAAACACCGACCTTACCTAACCTACTTAGTATGTTAAGGTAAGCATCTTATTGCTTCGTAATTACAATTATTACCTAACCTATAATAGGTATAGGTTAAGTAATAATTGTAATTACGAAGCAATAAGATGCTTATCTTAAGATACTAACAAGGTTAGGTAAGGTCTGTGTTTTCTATGAATCTTTTTAAGGGTATCTATTATGTTTAGTATATCACCTATGCACGTAGTTAATAAGTCAATATTGACTTTACGAATTTGCGAGAACGGGTTGAATATATACATATACACACACACACACACACACACACACACACACACACACACACACACACACACACACAGCGATATACTAAAGAAATTGTTCATGACTTTTGTTAGGCCAAAGCTAGAATATGCAGCTGTTGTGTGGTGCCCATATCTTAAGAAGCACATCAACAAACTGGAAAAGGTGCAAAGACATGCTACTCAGTGGCTCCCAGAACTGAAGGGCAAGAGCTACGAGGAGAGGTTAGAAGCATTAAATATGCCAAAACTAGAAGACAGAAGAAAAAGAGGTGATATGATCACTACATACAAAATAGTAACAGGAATTGACAAAATCAACAGGGAAGACTTCCTGAGACCTGGAACTTCAAGAACAAGAGGTCATAGATTTAAACTAGCTAAACACAGATGCCGAAGAAATATAAGAAAATTCACCTTCGCAAATAGAGTGGTAGACGGTTGGAACAAGTTAAGTGAGAAGGTGGTGGAGGCCAAGACCGTCAGTAGTTTCAAAGCGTTATATGACAAAGAGTGCTGGGAAGACGGGACACCACGAGCGTAGCTCTCATCCTGTAACTACACTTAGGTAATTACACTTAGGTAATTACACACACACACACACTGTACTCGGACCTATCCTGTTTCTGATATACGTAAATGATCTCCCAGAGAGTATAGACTCATTACTGTCAATGTTTGCTGACGACGCCAAAATTTTAAGAAGGCTTAAGACAGAGGAGGACTGTTTGAGGCTTCAAGAAGACCTGGACAAGCTGCAGGAATGGTTGAACAAATGGTTGTTAGAGTTTAACCCAAGCAAATGCAATGTAATGAAGATAGGTGTAGGGAGCAGGAGACCAGATACAAGGCATCATTTGGGAGATGAAATACTTCAAGAGTCTGAAGTATTGGTGAGTCTGAGTGGGTGCAACACAAACATCAGTATCAAGTTGTGGTTTGTGTAGTACAAAATTATCACAGCCCTCCCTCACGAATTCACCCATGCTTCTTGTACTGGCACCAGCACCACTGGCATAGTAACATCACCATGGAAGCCGCTAACACACTGTTCATCTACGCTACTTTTATCAGAAGCAGCATCACTGAATCCAGAAAATAATTCATCTATAGCCCCTTTCAAAGCTAGAGAAATTGCTGACCTGAAGAGCATGCTGAGATCCTTTATGGCTAGAATCCACTTGGTAAAACGTCTAAACTATTGGGACCAACTAAAATACCTAAATCTGTATCCTCTTGAGCGCAGGTGGGAGAGATGCATGATAATTTACACGTGAAAAATACTAGAGGGGCTGGTCCCAAACCTGCACACAGACATAGCACCACATGAGACCAGAAGGCATGGCAGGATGTGCAGAATTCCCCCATTGAAACACAGAGAATAGGTACTCTGATAGACCTATCAACATCAGAGGTCCGAGACTGTTCAACACGCTTCCACTACACATAAGGGGCATAACTGGCTGACTCCTAACAGTGTTGAAGAGAACTTGATAAACACCTCCAAAGGATACCCGATCAACCAAGCTGTGATTCATACGTCAGGCTGCAAGCAGCCGTGTCCAACAGCCTGGTTGACCAGTCCAGCAACCAGGAGGCCTGGTCGAGAACTGGGCTGCAGGGATGCTAAGCCCCGAAATCATCACAAGGTAACTGCAAGGTACCTTACCTTGAGGTTACCTTAATGTGATTTCGGGGCTCAGCGACCCCGCGGCCCGTTCGTCGATGAGGCCTCCTGAACTGCAAAGTATAGTATAACTTTCTTCAAAAATTGGTGAGGACAGGTGGTGATAATAATGGCATGAGCGATGGCCTGAGAGGCCACACAGCGTGCCTAGTGCTCACCCTGTACTGGATATGCTCGCTGCATCGTCCTCAGCTGTGCTGCATCACTTGTGTAAGGTCTTTATCGTGCTTCATCAAGGCTTCATCTGCCTTGCCTCATCAATATCACTACCCTTATCTTCTTCAAAACCATAAGGTATGAATTTCATCAGCAGAGAGCGATCTTTCCACACTGCTTCCGACAGGAAACTGGGAGTCGGAGGTGGGTGCGCCAGCCATGATTGCTCACTCAGAACTGAGCCAACCCATGGCCCTGGGGCATGCTGTGAATTTCTTCCAAGATGGCTACCGCTCACTGGAGGTCTCAGGCGTCCATCTCGTACCCAACCTACTGCACGCGCATTTTCAATCTTATGATATCCTAACATCGCTCATTTGTCAGGTGGTGCAGTGCAGTGTGTTATAAATCCATATACTGTAGTTGATTCTAACATTTATCATGATAAATATGTATGTTCATTATTTCTTTCCTCAATTATTTAAAATTAACCATTAAGTCTATTTGTTTTCTAATATATATGTTTGAGTTAGATGTAGCATGCTATAATGTGCCTCTATGTACTATTTTGCTAATGCTATTGCATGTTTATTCATGTGGGGGGAGATCGTGGCATCTCATGAGGGGATGACCGTATTTGGGATGTTCCAGTAATTGCATGTAGTGTATCAACTTAGCGTCACCGATTCACCCCTGTAATTATTCCAGTTTCTTGTATGTACTTAATTTCATCTTAGCAGTGTTATATGCATATTAGTATAATTATAATTTTGTTCTTAAGTATTACTCTCAGATAGCAGAGTATTTAGAGATTTCATGTGATTCTTAGTTGGTAACCTGTCAACACCAAGCTGAGCACGCCAGTCGCGTGGGTGAAGCTGGCTGAGGTGGACATGTTATGAGAAAGCTTTGGTACCTGTTTATTGTTTAGTAACATAGCTAATTGCCTGGTAAGACCATTATTTGCATACCCATCTATTCATTTAAGTTTTAAAATAGTGATCAGTGCTTATATAATAATATTGTGTTTTTTATTCTGGTGCAATAATATTTCTGGTTGCCTGTATTTCATTTATATGTTTGTATGTTTCTTTGTTACCCTTATTTAAAGTATATTGCTTTGCTGATTAAGCAGTTGATTTATTTACCCATAGACATTTGTAGTAGGCAAGGCCGCATATTTATATATTTTACTACTGCAAAAGCAGTCATAATACAGTGGTTAAGCAACTTTTAAGGAAATTTCAGAAAATGTGACATTGTTCATAATAGCTCACATGAGAATTCAAACTAAACTAAATATAAATAATTTGAAAAAAAAAATCCCAATTTTCTCCTCACATCAAAAAGGTTTACATTACATCTCCATGCACAGAACTGCTAGACTACTGTAATAAGGCATACTCTTGTCATGAAAATGAGCATTTGTAATACACATCTTATTTATTGCATATATCTTACAGTGTAAACTGTAAAGCCATTGTCATTTATTCCTGGGACATGAATACAATTTGCTCAGAGTATTATGAAAGCAGACATACATACCTCCTTCCACATATTTCCTGGAATCAGCATGCGAGCACTAAGATTACCACAAGGAGGCTGACTGGGGTCATCAGATGCATCTTCTATCCAATCCCGAGGTGAATACCATCGCACAAAATCTTCAAGGACTGCTCCTGGATTTGCTGCCTGTTTAAAACAGTCATTTCCAATTGTAAAAAATATTACTTAAATTTATTTTGAATTATTTACAAATTCAATGTTATTAAACAAGCTTAAAATGGAGCAATAGGAGAGAAATAAAAATAAATTACGGGACAGTATAAAAAATAATACACTGAGTGCTTCTGAATAACCGGATAGCCTATCCGAAAGAGGACACTCATACAAGTCAAATAATTTTGAATAAACAAATACAAATATCTCGTCCTCTTATACAATAATTAAACTTTATTTCTTTGTGGGTATATGAATGTAGGCCACTTTGGCATTTGCCTCTAATGTTATCTAACCAATGTGGGTCACCTGCCTTAGATTTTGAGTTATGCCTTCTCTCTACTAATTCTGACTCATGACTGACAATCTGATAACTGTATCTGATGACTACATCTAATACCCGAGATCATGATTGATTATTGTGATAGTATGGCTATACAGCTTAGTATTATAACAAAAATCAATGTAAGAGCAGGCATCCCATTTTTCTAACATAATTAGTGGTTTAGATGGTCTCAGTCACTAGGTATCTGAAAAGTATGTAGATGCTGTGTGTGTGTCCAAGTGTGCAAATGTGTGTTTTATCCATAATAAGAAAACTCCCCAAAATTTGGTAACAAATTCCTCCCCCACCCCCTCCAAAAAAAAAAAAAAAAAAAAAATCCTTCAAATCTAGATTTCTAGATTTCATGCTACTACAGAATAGGTCTGGAATGAATTTATCCAGATTTTAGGCATGGCACTATTCAGTATTTTACGTTTAAAGTCAACAGAACGAGGGCATTCGAGATATTAACCTAGGCAGTGATTATCGTCTACTGATGATCCCTAGGGGTAATCATCAAATGACGATTTAAACGATTATTGTCTGGGTTTTACATTTATGATGCAAATATGGATATAATAGGTCTATGAGGATGTAACGGAGTTTACCTTGTCCCATAAAAAAATCCTGCTATCATTTCATGGTATGAATGTGTTTTTTGTCATGAATGTTACTGGGGAAATGATGTAATCATCAAAAGACAATTTAAACAATTATTGTCTGGGTTTTACAAGTATGATGCAAATAATAGCTCTCTCTGGGTGTAAATAAAGAAAAACAAGTGATAACAGTCCCTGTGGTTTAGTGGTTAACAGTCCCCGTGGTGTACTGGTTAAGACGCTCGCCTGGCGTTTCACGAGCGCTTTGTTCTGGGTTCGTATCCTGGCCGGGGAGGATTTACTGTGCGTCAATCCTTAACCCTCAAACCGCGCATATCATATATAAATGATATCAGTGACAAAACCGAAACCGCGCACATCATTTATATATGATTTCGTGTCTAGCGCTATAATTTAAACTCCCTGCCTGGAATAGGGGCAGCTATAGTACAGCCACGACCGATAGTTGCCAGATGCCACCTAGAAAAAAAATCCAGGCCAACATTCTTGGGTGTGAGAGCGTCAGTATTGAGCAAGCCACCAAGGCTGGCGCACGCAGCACGAGCTCACAGCACCGCTGTTCAGCTTGTGACCACAGCATCGCCTACAAATACCATAATATATATGATACTGCTATTATTTAGCAGTGAGAGTATTACTAAAGCCCCCTGACTGTGATAAAACTGACCAGGATTCTGATAATAGCAGGATTGTGGTGATATTTAGCGCTGTGCTCCATGGAGGGAGGCGTAAGGCTGTGCGAGGGAGGGTTGTGGCGTCGTCTTCTGACTGTGTGTGGCCACCATTTATTGACTGCACTCACCATACCAGCTTAGTGGTTCGATATGGTGAACACAAATGTAGATACTTATATATAACGTGTGTGTATATAGGGTATAAACAGCAAGAGGAGTAGGTTGGGAGCCGCCATTTTGGTGAGGGCGGTGGCGTCGTCTGCACGACTTATCATGTTGTTTACTGGTGACCACAATAGTCTTTGGGCACCATACCAGCTTAATTGTTCAGGTATGGTGAATAAAACAGGTAGATACTTATATATAATATGTGTATATAGCGTAATAACACCACAAACAATATTGTTGAAGGACAAATATTAGTGCGTCTGGCCTTGAGGGCGGCCGCCGATCAGCTGACTGTGTGAGTAGCTACGTCTTTGTGGCCTTTACTCACCATACAAGCTTAGATGTACAGTTATGGTGAACAAAACATGTAAATACGTATATATAACATCTGTGTATAGTGAATAAATACAGAAAGAGTATTGTAGGAGGTGAATGAGGGTGAGTAAGGTGGTGTTGAGGGAGTGAGTGGCTCGCTGGTGTTTGGCGGTCACTCCTCGTTGCTTTTTGACTCACAAGACCAACTTAGTAGTTCGTTATGGTGTACAAAACATGCAAATACTTATATATAACCTGTGTATATAGTGTAACAACAGCAAAACTATTTGTTTATTGTTTTATGATCATAATAATTGAATCACTAATATGCACACCATAATTTTGAGTACAGCGATGGTTCACACATTTTATAATATAAATATACCACAATTCACTGTATGGAATAATATTACTGCAAAAAAACTAAGAAAAAATCAATCAGAGACATTGAAATAATTAGGTAATAATATATTTGTGGCAACTGCCGTCTGACAGCTCGGGCGGAGTAGACCTCATCTGGCGAAGGCTCTGCCAACGCCCCTTTTTTGCCACACTTCCCTACCCTATTGCGGCTAAAATATGCCACCTACGATTTTTTTGTTATTTTTTCCGTGATCAGGGAACAAAAAACCAGCGTTGAATGTAATGAAACGCCATTTTCTGGGTGAGTCCCGGAGGCTCCCCGGAGCTATCCCAGGCTGATATGCTAATGTCAGACTTTGGCATCAGTCATGTGTATGGAGTTCTTAGGCCTACCGGGGACCACGGCCAGAACCGGGCCCCCTCAGAGAGGCAAGGGGAGCAATGGCCTATAGAAGCCCCCGTGTAGTTGGAAGCATTCTATGTCTGCCATCGACCGGAACAGGCACCCAGAAAGGTAAGCGCCCCAAAACAAACCCCTATTCTGGTTAAAATTGCTACCTAAAACCGAACTAGTGGATAGAACTCCCCAACCGAAAACAAGCAAACTAGTGTGACGTCACACACTGCCGCGCCGCTGTCTGCGCAGCTCCCCCCTCCCCGGGAGGGGGAAGGGGGAGCCCCAGACCCCCCGCGCCGGCTACCCACACCTCAGTTCTTGAGGCTGGATGTCAAAAACGCGAAAAACCGCCGACCGGAGGGAGGGAGGGATGCCGGGGAGCCTCCGGGACTCACCCAGAAAATGGCGTTTCATTACATTCAACGCTGGTTTTCTGGGGGGAGCCCCGTCGGCTCCCCGGAGCTAACTACCCACAGACAGAAAAAGAGGGACTTACCCGGGATGCGGTCGTCGCTCACCCCTCAACTCGAAGCCGAGACAACTGGCCGCAACCGCCGACCCAAAGCAACACAGGCCCGACGAGGCCCAGGGACATTCACAAGGTAACGAGCAGCCAGGACCCTGTTCGACCGCCAAAATCCCCGCGCCCGAATATCAGACCAAGACATACAGTGGTACCTCGGAATGCGATTGTCCCTGTATGCGAGATTTTCGGAAGGCGAGGTGTATTTACTCCAAAAATTTGTCTCAGAAGGCGAGGGTTACTTCGGGAGGCGAGTTTGGACGCGAGTTTGTTGATACGCGTACAGCCGACCTAGCGCGTTCGTCGCCCCTCCGCCCCGCCGCCCCTCAGTTTATTATTGTCTGGCGCTCAGTGACTACCCCCACATCAATTCTTCTCGCGGATTTTCAGTGTTTTGTTGGATTTTTGGTGATTTGTCTATACAATTTGTTATTATATATCTCACCATGGGTCCCAAGAAAGCCAGTGGTAAGGATAAAGGCCAGAAAGCTCCTGTGAGGATGACAATAGAGGAGAAACAAGAGATCATTCGGAAGCATGAGAACGGTACACGTGTTGTTGAACTTTGTAGGCAGTACAACAAAGCCACATCAACAATATGCACTATACTTAAGAAGAAAAATAAGATTATGGGTGCTAAAGTGGCAAAAGGAGTAAGAACATTAACGGCACAAATACTTGAAGAAGTGGAAAAGTTGTTATTAATTTGGATACACGACAAGGAGTTGAGGGGTGATAGTGTTTCGGAGGCCATTATTTGTGAGAAAGCCAGGGTGTTGCACGAAGACCTTCTAAAGAATACCCCTGCAACGAGTGATGCAGATAAGAAAGAGTTTAAGGCAAGCAGGGGCTGGTTTGAAAAATTTAGAAAGAGAAGTGGTATCCATAGTGTTACAAGGCATGGGGTTATGTGATGTGATTATGGAAGGGGACTCCCCTTCCAAACAGTAACTCCTCTCCTCCTCCCCCCTCCTCACCATCTTCCATACGCCTACAGCACTCGACAGTAAGGTAAGTAATAACTGGAACACAGTTTTGTAGGTTTATTTAGATGAATTAGGTATAAAAATTTAGTTTGATGTGGGGTTTTTGGGGTAGTCAGGAACGGATTAATTCATTTCCCTTTATTTCTTATGGGGAAATTAACTTCGGAATGCGAGTTTTCGGAAGGCGAGGCGTCTCCAGGAACGGATTAAACTCTTATTCTGAGGTATGCCTGTATTCCCAAAGACGGCAGCAAGAGCCGCGAACTTACGAACGTCATGGGCACGGGGATAGACCGCAGGCTGGCTGGACCTAATAACCCTGCGGACGACCTGAGAGACCCGAACCCGCGAACAGGGAAGAAGGGAAACCGGATCAACCCACAGCGCGTCCCCGGACACAGAAGCTGTGGCGCACAAATAACGGCGAAGCGCCGCAACCGGACACAAAACATGATGCACCCCCTGCCTGACCAACCAAGCATCAACCACCCATGGACCCCTCCGGAACGCAGCAGTCTCATTCTTTGCCAGAAAAGAAGGAGACGGCTGCAAACGAACAAAACTATCACCACGACCAAAAGAGCAGAAACCCCTGCGCCGGAGGAGAGCATGAAGCTCCCCTACCCGACCCCCAGAGGCCAAAGCCAACAAGAAAAGGGCCTTGGAAAAACAATCCTGGACCGAAGGGGCCACAACGAAACGAGGAGATGAAAGGAAAGCGAGCACTCTGTCCAAAGACCAGGACGGCTCAGGCGACGCATGAGCAGGCCGGAGGTGAAACAATGCACGAGACAGCTTGCGAAACGGCGCAGACGTAACATCGATACCGAAAGCAAGCTGAAGCAGCTCCGCCAGCGCCGCACGATACGAAGCGACAGTGTTAGGCATAAGATGACGGTCCTGAAACAACCACGAGAGGAAGGACAAGACCACCCGAACAGACAAGGAGCTAACACGACGAAGACGCAAAAAGAAACGGAAGGACCGCCAGGAAACTTCATACTGCCGCCGAGAAGAAGCCCTAAGGCGGGACACCAACAAGGAGGCCACCTGATCACCATAGAGATGATGATAGACTCGAGTCAAAAAAACCATACGCGAAGACTCGAGGAGAAGATCGAACCAGCTACATGACATACCGGCCCGATCTGCTGAAAGAGGCGGAGCCGCGGGAAAACCCTCGGGTTCGGACACCGAGCAACCAGCGCCTGAAACCAAGGCTGGGCCGGCCACCAAGGGGCCAGAAGGACAACTCTCCCCCGGTAAGTCTCTAAGCGAGTCAGGACCTGGAGCAACAGCCGAACCGGGGGAAAGAGGTACAGGAACCCCCACCACGACCAGTCGAGCCGAAAGGCATCGACCCCGACGGCCTCGCAATCGGGGAAGGGCGCCGCATAAACGGGAAGACGCTGCAACCACGCCGACGCGAAGAGGTCCACCTCGGGGCGCCCGAACGTCTGGCAAAGCCAACGGAAGGACTCGTCGTCGACCGTCCACTCCGTGGAGAGGGGAACGAAGCGAGACAGGGCGTCGGCCAAGACGTTGGACACGCCCCGTACGTGAACCGCCAGGAGAGCCAAACCCCGAGAACTCAGCAGACGAGTCACCCGAAGAGACCAACCCCAAAGAGACAAGGACCGCATCGAACCCCCTCGGTTCAGGCAATGAACCTGGGCCTCGTCGGGCCTGTGTTGCTTTGGGTCGGCGGTTGCGGCCAGTTGTCTCGGCTTCGAGTTGAGGGGTGAGCGACGACCGCCTCCCGGGTAAGTCCCTCTTTTTCTGTCTGTGGGTAGTTAGCTCCGGGGAGCCGACGGGGCTCCCCCCAGAAAACCAGCGTTGAATGTAATGAAACGCCATTTTCTGGGTGAGTCCCGGAGGCTCCCCGGCATCCCTCCCTCCCTCCGGTCGGCGGTTTTTCGCGTTTTTGACATCCAGCCTCAAGAACTGAGGTGTGGGTAGCCGGCGCGGGGGGTCTGGGGCTCCCCCTTCCCCCTCCCGGGGAGGGGGGAGCTGCGCAGACAGCGGCGCGGCAGTGTGTGACGTCACACTAGTTTGCTTGTTTTCGGTTGGGGAGTTCTATCCACTAGTTCGGTTTTAGGTAGCAATTTTAACCAGAATAGGGGTTTGTTTTGGGGCGCTTACCTTTCTGGGTGCCTGTTCCGGTCGATGGCAGACATAGAATGCTTCCAACTACACGGGGGCTTCTATAGGCCATTGCTCCCCTTGCCTCTCTGAAGGGGCCCGGTTCTGGCCGTGGTCCCCGGTAGGCCTAAGAACTCCATACACATGACTGATGCCAAAGTCTGACATTAGCATATCAGCCTGGGATAGCTCCGGGGAGCCGACGGGGCTCCCCCCAGAAATGAACACTTCTATAAGACGAAAGAATTTTTTGGAATTTTTTTTTTTTGTTGCGCCTGTGGGTGTGAATTCCATTTGGGCCCCTAGCGGTTTGAGGGTTAACTGTAGCCTCTATTTACCCAACAGTAAAATGGGTACCTGGTTGTTAAATGATTTTGCGGTGTCATATTCCAGGAACATAGGATTCAGGACTTGCCCGAAATGCTACACGTACTAGTGACTGTACAAGAATGTAACAACTCTTGTGTATGTATGTATGTATGTATGTATGTATGTATGTATGTATGTATATGTATGTATGAATGTATGTATGTATGTGTATTATATATATACAGTATATAGATATCTATAGATGGGATCCAATGAACAGTGTGTTTATTAAATTGTCAAATACAAGAAGACAGTCTCACAAATCTTGCTGAATTTGGAAATCCGACTGTTCATAACATTAGATTCAAAAGTCTACTGAGTGAGACCATATGCTAAAAGTTGGAAATTAAATGCATTACAATTTAGTTAAAAGTATAAAATTCATATAAAATATAAAATTACCCAATTTGTATTATTCAGTATGCATCTATAAAAGCTAATTAAAATTTAGATTATATAGTAAACCAAAAAATTAATGTTAGTACATGCCCAACAGTATTTACAACTGCAAATTACACTTAGAACAGTGTCATATTTCAATACTTGACATATTCCAAGTTTTCAAAATATTATTAGAATATACAAAATATTAAAAATAAATATTTTTACCTTGAAGGACTCCATATCTGAAAGCAAAGAAGCAGACATCATTCGTGCACGAAGTTGGGATCCCACAGTATCTGTTCCCAAGCGTAGTAACACATCTGCATGTTCTTCAAGCCGGTCTTCTGTCATTGGTGCTGGTTCTTGGGTATATGGAATGAATAACTGCTCATTTGTTTTAATAAGCCTCAATTTTCCACAGCGCTTTAAGCGACCTTCTGGCTTGTCCCAGGATGGACGGCTACCATTGGACTTCTCTTCTTCCTCCATTTCTTCTTCACATTCATAGAATTCATCTTCATCATCTACCTCATCATTATCTAAAAATATTAAGTTCAAAATTACTTTTAATCTTTATCCTTTCTCATGACAGGTGAAATGAAGCCTTACCATTATCAACTTTTCTGTTCAGTGCTTTTCTCATTAAATTGTCAACATGCATTGAAAAATTATTCTGCCTTCTTCACTGCAACCATCTTTGGTCATTATTGTTTGATGTCATTAATATATATTAATATACTGTACAGTATATGAATATATATACATTCCAAAGATGCAATTAAAATACTTTTAAAGAAGTTATATTATACTGTACATCTACAATGTAATCCAGTGTGATGTAATCCGTCACTGGAGTAATGTTGCATTCCTAGGAGAGGATGACCCGTCATATTCGGTTCTCTCCAGTCTACTCGCGCAACTCCTCAATTTCTTGTAATTTGCTTTACAAAAATTTGGTACTCGAATAGCAATTTTTCTTATGCAACTTTTCCATGCTAGGCTAACTGCAAATTTCCTTAAAATCACTGTTCCCTAATATGTTCTTTATTTCAATATTATTTACTTGTGTCTCCCTCTGGCCAGCACTAAGGCTAATACAGTGGTACCTTTGTTTACGATTTTAATCCATTCCTAGAGACATGTCGTACAGCAAAAAATCGTAAACCAAAACACATTTTCCCATAAGAAATAATGTAAATTTAATTAATCTGTTCTACACACCCAAAAATCTTAACTTGAAAATACATTTTATACAGAATACTACTTATAGATTTTTGCTATACAGTACTGTACAGGTACTTTACCTTTATTGAGGACTCTTCATGGCGTAAGGAAGACGGTGAGGAGGGGGAGAGGAAGAGAGAGGTGTTAGTATTTGGAAGGGAGTTCCCATTCATTATAACATCCGGCACTGATGCTATTTCTGGGATACACTCTCTCCTACATTTTGCAGGCATACCACTAGGACCTGGTTGTGGCTTACTGCTTGTTTGTCTCACTAAAAACCCGTCTATAGTTACTTGTTTTTCCCTACGTCTTAATATTTGTTTGTAGTGATATATCATGTCTTGTTTATCCTCTATCGTCATCCTCAACTATTTTCTTAGGTTGAACTTTACCACTGACTTGAGACCCATGGCATTATATGTAATAAAAACTTTTATGTTCAGAAACCAAAAATGTAGAAAAACAATGAAATTCTTTACAAAGAATTAAAGTGCGGTTGTCATTAGTACACCAAGCGTGCCTCGCCTGCGCCGCACCCAGCAGAACCACATGCTTGCTCGACCCATACAAGTATCAACAGACAAATCGTGTTCCAAGGCAAAATCGTGTTCCAAGGCAAACATCATACACCAATTCAAATTTTACAAAGAATTTGACGTTGTAAACCAAAAAACCTGCGTTGAATGTAATGAAATGCCATTTTCTGGGCGAGACCCGTAGGCTCCCCAGAGCTATCCAGGCTGATATGGATATTATTAGACTTTGGCATCAGTGTGAATGGAGTTCATATTCATAGGCCTACCGGGAATCACGAGCCAGAACCTGGCCCCTCAGAGAGGCACGAGGAACAATGGCCTATAGAATTGCACATGTAATTTGGAGCATTTTATGTCTGTCACTGATTCAATTGATGACTGATGGATTCAAAAGGTGACACCCCTAGGGACAACACTTGCATCAGAGGAGCTCCAGCATATTTCAACAATCCTAAGTATTGTAGTACAGGTTGATGATAGTGAGTGGTGTCCCAGAGAACATAAAGGTATAGTGCTTTTGAAAAATAGTTGAAATAACAGGAATGTGCTAAGGGAAGTGAAAAATTGGATGAGAAAAAGTTGCCCTAGTGTTTCCAGTGCAGAGAAGAACATTCAAGATGGCCGCCGGCAAGAGGAAAAACATAACAGAGCTTGATTTTGCTGGATTCAATGAAGAAAGCATTGATATAAGCAGTCTACACAACAAGTTGGTAAAATTAGATACTATAGTGAACTCTCATGTAGAAATAATTAGTAAATTGGTAGAAAGTAATGACCATTTGAATAGCAAAGTTTTATGTCTTGAGGGTTTAGTGAATGACTTGCGCAAGGATAAGAATCAATTGGAAACAAATTGCAAAGCCATGGAAGAAGAAAATAAACTCTTAAAAATAACTTTGGAAGAAGTTAAAGTAAATTTAAACATAAATGACTACAATAGGTTAGGTAAGGAAATTAAACAGGAGAAACAGCTTTTGTCAGCACAGATGGAGGAAGTTACACAGGGAATAGAACAGTGCAAGAAAGATATGCAACTCACTTATGCACAAGTGGCCAAGGAGAAGGAAAAAATTGAAGAAGCTGTAAAGGAAGCCAAACACTGCAGCAACCAAGATAAAACAAACATTAGGCTGGAAGTGAGAAAGGAATTGGCATCTAATCCGAAGTTAGTGCAAAACTCAGTTGATCGGAGTAAATCCCTGATAATTTTTGGTTGCAAAAAAAAGGAAATAACATTAGGTCAGAAAGAGCTGTAGAAGAAGCGAAAGTATAATAATGTCCATATCAGCCTGAATAGCTCCGAGGACCCAAAGGGGCTACCCTCAGGAAAATCGTAATCTAGGGCAGTTGTAAACCAAGGTACCACTGTATAGTTTTCCTATGTTGCTTCTGTAAGTTTTTGCTCAAAAAATGAGTAGTCCACATTTTTTTTTAAATTCTTCTGGGTTTGGATTCTCCATTTAATTGGTTCAGAACATTTTACTAAAATTTGAGTTACCTTAACAATAATACAATACAGTAGAACCTAGATTCAATGTATTGGACCAAACCCAATTCACTGAAATGAGTGATTCATTGCACCCAGAGATGCCTCCAGGGTGCATTTCCCACACTCTATGGGCTAATTTCACTTAACAAAATTTTATTTTCATCCTTTAACAGACAACTACCAAATGAAGAAGTCTGCAAAAAAAAATAACAGCATCTAGATTTCTCATGTTCCCAGCTTCAAAACTCTTTTTCCAAAAATTGCAGGGCTATACCTGATTAACACTTTGGCTGCACTAGCGGGCCACCTGCAGTGCAATGCAAGGTAGGCTGTGCGTTGCCTGTGAGCAGACAACCACACTCCAATGTTTATACTCTTTACAGTTTTCTCACCTCAATTTTCATGCTACGTCATTCATTTTGGTTCCATAATGTTTGCAATAAAATGCTCTAAAGAGATATATGCATACAAGGTCAAATAGAAATTCATTGTTACCAATGAAATGAGATAAAGTACATCGACATGCAAGAAAAACTGGCTTTTGTTTACAGTAGTTATTCATTACCGACATTATTTGTTACACTATATCATTCATTTTTTTTTTGTTTGTTTTGTGTTTATAAAGGCAGTAACAAAAAGTACCCGAGGTAAAACAACCAGAATGGGCACACGTTTCGATTCGAGGGTAGGGTGGGTGGGTGGCCACCCACCTACATCTAGCTGGGTTGGTGGCTACCTACGTGGCAGTGTAATGATGGCACATGGGTATAGAGAGAACAGGAAGACGTTGGCGAGCATTTTAAAACAAATTTCACAATAATCAGACAACAAATGGAATTTTAACAAATATTTGGATTTTGGACGGCATTGTCGTCCTCTTGCGAACTACTGTACTAGTGTTGATTTTAGGACGACAATGATGTTATCCAGAAGCGAAAGTGTTAAACTAAAACCTTGCCAACCCAAACTGAAAAACAAAATTTGACTTTATATATTCAATAGCTTTACAAGGCTCCAACTGTTTCTTAAAATGTTGAGTCCATCTACAAAAATAAAAAACGTGATTGGAACCATACTGAAATCAGTCCATGCTCTATGGGCTGATTTTACCAAGCAAAATTTTAATTTTATCCTGTCATATGAAGGACAACTTCCAAGAGAACCTGTGTGTAAAGAGATTTCACTACATCTAGCAGATTTATCATGCCCAAGCCTTGAAACCTCATTTTCAAGGGAAAAAGAACACAATGAATGAAAACTGGGAATCTCAAAATTTAAAATTAACCATAGAATTTGGTTTTAAATAGGCTCACTGGCTTTCCCAAGGTCCCTTACTATTGCTTATAATGTTGCACCCATCTATGAAAAACATTAACAATGTGATTGGAGCCATAATAAGAATTACCTTTTACCTAACAAAAAAAACAGCATTGAATGTAATGAAACGCCATTTTCTGGGTAGAGCCCCGGAGGCTCCCTGGAGCTATTGGACTGATATTAGCTATTATTAGTATGGGACTTCAGTCATATGGAATTGTCATGCCTACTAGGGGACCACTAGCCAGAAAATGGTCCCCTCAGAAAGGTGCAGGGAGCAATGGCCTATGAAACTCCCTTGTATAAAGTTTTCATGTCCGCCATTGACCGGGGTTTGACACCCAGAAAGATAGGCGCCCCAAAACAGACCCCAACTGGTAGGAAAATTGTAACCCGAGACCGAACAGAGGCTAGAAACTTCCCCTGAAGGCAAACAAGAAAACAAGCAACATGTCATCACACCATGCGCCGCTCGTTCGCTACCCCCACCCCATGAGGAGGGGGGGGAGGAGGGGGCCCCAGCTGCCGGATCATCAGTTCGTAGACCGACTAAATGTAACAAAAACTGCCGAACAGAGGGAAGGAGGGTGCTAGGGAGCCTCCGGGGCTCTACCCAGAAAATGGCATTTCATTACATTCAACACTGGCTTTCTGTGGGAAGCCCCATTGGTTACGTGGAGCTAGCTATCCAAAGAGCAGGAAAAAGAGAGACTTACCAAGGAGGGGCCTACACCGCACGACCCATGACTCAGACGAGACAACTGGCTGCAACTGCCAACCCAAGATGACAAGATTGCTGAGGGCCCCCCGCATTAACAAGATATAGGACAGTTAGAACCCTGTTCGTCCTTCAAAACACCCGCACCGGAATGTCAGCTCAAGACATGTTTCCAAATACAGCGGCCAAAGTCGCAAACTCTCGAACATCATGGGTGCGAGGGTAGACCAGAAGCTGGCTAGACTTAACTCT